TTTTTTTTTTTTTTTTTTTTTTTTTTTTTTTTTTTTTTTTTTTTTTTTTTTTTTTTTTTTTTTTTTAGTTTTTATAAATGACGTGTAAAGTGAGGTGCATGAGTACTTGTCACATCTCAAGAGACGTGTCGGAGAGTCGGACGCGAAGTCGTCACCAGGCACATACTGTTAATGCATATATTTAACCTATACATTAATATTTTTTACACCACCCTTATAAACATTAAACAAAAAATCAATGAATCTTGAGGATTACAGCTCTTTGACTTACATATAGATAGATGCATTAATTTTTTTTTTTTTTCATTTTTCTGAGAATTTTGTTCCACAAATTTTATTTTTTCAACTTTTACTTACTTTATCTTTCAATAATTAACCTTTTACCCAGTTTACATAATAAAGAAATTCACTTTTTTTTATATGTAAAATTAAAATTAAAATATTAAGACCACTTTCTCTCTCTCTCTTTATTTTAAATCATACAACAACAACAAAAAAGAAAAAGAATATCAAATCATGGATATTAAAGAAAATGATATAAAAAGAAAAAAAAAATCCAGGTGAAAAGAATCAACAAAAACTAAAAACAACATATTGAGATACAGAAATAAAGAAATTATGAATTCCGTTCTTTTTTTTTCTTTTTTTAAATTTTAATTTTTTTCACTCAACACTTTAAAGAAATAATATATATATATATATAAAAAGAAAATTACTGAGGATGATGATCCACAGACATTGAACTACTTTCACCTAAATTATTTCGATGATGATGATGATTGTTGACACTCCAAAGATTTAATTGATCATTCAAGAAAGAAGTTTCATCAATCTTTTGATTTGGATTAAATGTATCCATAAAAGTTTGTTCATGAGTTGTTGTTTGAGTTTGTTGAGTTTTTAAAAGTTTGATGGTTTGTTTTAATTCTTGATTTTCTTGTGATTGATGTTCAACTATTTCTTTCAAATGTTTTATATAATCTACTGACCTATATATATATAAATCAAAATATCAATTTGTAATTCATTTACTCTAAAGAAAAGGAAAAATTGTACATACTTTGCCAAAATAAATCCTTTATTATGTTTATTATTATTATTATTGGAAAGATTTCCTTCATTGGTTCCACCACCTTCTTCTTCTAATCCTCCAATTACTTCATCCAACATGATAGTAGGTAAAAGTTTACATAATTCTTGTATACGTTCATTTATATTCTCTCTTCTACGTCTTTCTACTGCATTATGAGATTCTCTTCTCCTCCTTCTTTTTTCACTTAGCACAGCACTATCAAAACAGCATCATGATCATCAGTACTTGGATTCTGAAAAGAAGGTTTATTTTTAGTTGATACACTTTTCAACTTACTTAGTTTCATCTGTGACTGGATTATTATTATCAATGGATCTATTACCAAAAACGGGACTACCAATTAAACTGGAAACTTCTTCTTTCATACTACTGTTATTATTGTTATTATTGTTATTATTGTTAGTATTATTATTATTATTATTATTAGATACAGGTTGAGTGACAGAAGAAAGAATCGATTCAGAAGGAGAGCAAGATCCAGCAAAAGATTGGTGATGATGATCTAATTGAAATGAAACTTTGGGTTGTTGTTTCCAATCAGGTAAAGAATTTGGACTAGATAAATAAGTAGGAACAGAAGCAGCCATAGGTTTTGAATCTGTTTCATGATGACCATTTAACTGATGATTGAGACCGTTACGTGATAATAAACTATGACGGATGGTAGAAGATGAAGGTCTACGAGCAGATTTAGATCTAGGTGTGGGTGATTTAATGTTGATAGAACTTGGAGGTCTACCGATCCTATTAATTTCATCATGAATAAATGTACCATAATTTGATTCTACTAAAAAATCTTGATTTGAATTGGGTCCACCTGAACTTGAACCGGTAGGTGAATAAATTTCTAGTGGTGATGAAGGTGAAGGTGAATGAGTTAAATCTAAATGTCTAGGTAAATTTCTTAATGGGAGTTGTTGATATGTAGTTGAAGATGAATGATTTGAATTGGAATGATTATTATTATAATCTGGGATTGAATAATCGTTCGAATTGGTGGTTGAACCGATGAGTGATTCTAGTAATTCTGCATCTGTGAAAAGTGATGAACCGATTCCAGTTTGTGAGTCAAGTTGACTGAAAGGGCTATGAAGCATATGTGGACTGATAGATAAGGATGATGGGTGATTTTGATTTTGATTTGAGATGTGGTGGTGATTAGATGCTGAGGTATTTTGAGGTACGTGAAAGCCTTCCAGGCGACGTATAGGATGAGATGATGAATCGAACATGGATAAAGTCCAAAAAAAAAAAAAAGAAATAGAAAAAAAAAACAACAACAGAAAAAAAAAACAAAAAACGAAAAAAGTGAGCAGATGATGAAGCTTTTGATCGGAGAAATTTGATGGGAAATGACAAATTCACCGGAAAAGGGCGGAGTTTATTAAACAAAAAAAAGTCTGCAGTACATCAACTCTCACCAATTCATTACAGTTCGGCAATTTCCCCACCAATTCAATTGCAATTCAAATTTTAATTCAATACTCCACACCCCGGCTTCCTTCGGCATCGGAAACCAATCCTGTTAATAGTAACACACACTCAAGCACCGCACTGTATGAGAAGCTACCCCACATTTAAATTCAATCGCATTCATCACTCCACCCTTCGGACTTTCCGAAACGGGATTCCGCGTTCAATTGACAGTTTGATGAGGACTCTAAAACTTTTGGAGATACACAATTGAGATTAGTAGTGAGGCCCCCAGAGCTAGACTGCTGTTATGACACCATACAGCAGGATTATTCTCACACTTTGGGGACTCCTCTTTGAGCAACAAAAAAAAAAGAAAGGTATAAAAGTTCAACCAACATCCATTGTCTGACTTGGAAGACCAAAGGAAACACATGTATAACTGAATTCAATGGAAATAGTATTAAAGCTACTTTTGTCCACACTAGAATTATAAAGAAGGTCCAGAAGTTTCAGGAAGCACATGATGTAATCAGGTAATACATATGGGAAGCTGTGGGCTTCTATTAAATTAGTCTCAATTATTCTTCCGAGTCCTTCTCCCTCCCCCCTTGTCCTTATAATGTGTTGGAGTACATAGAGTAGGGCTATAGCAGAGACTTACAAAGTCTTGCCCTGTTTCTGCTGAGGAGTATTCATTTGTTTTTGCTATCTTGTAGAGGTGAGGTAGTGGCTTGATCTCTCCCTCTCAGTACTGTAGAGGGTGAAAAATCACTCTTACATCTTTACTGGTGTGCTCCTTCTGTAGCACTCTGAGGGTAAAAAATCAAGTCAAATCCCCCCCCTCCCTCTCTAGTATTATAGAAGATGCTGAAGGAGGGTTGGATCTAATGACTTCCTTACATTATTGGAGGAAGGAATTCACTTGAAAGGGTCTGTTTGGGAATCCCAGACAGATTTGGTCAAGATTTTATCATGTTCAGGGTAAGATCAGAGGGAGAGTTAATCTATCTTTTTCTCTCTGAGCTCCCTTGAAAGAGATTGATGGACTCCCATTATGTGTACAAAGAAAAGGGAAATTGATCCCTTTATTTGGAAGGGGGGGGAGAGATTGATTGACTCTCCTATTCCATAGAGGGTACAAGGGGTGAGCTTCAGTTGACTGACCCCTCACTTGAGAATAGAGCCATAGAAGATGGTCATTGATAGGATGAGCAACTAAAAGTTTTTGCAGGGTTTCTTTCTACCCAAAACCCTCAGTGGTAAGCCAAAGAAACAAAAAAAAGAAGAAACACTGAGGCAGATGAGCACTGTTTGAGAAGCACCAGGTAAGCAGGACAACCAGCCTATCTGAATCACACTCCAAAGTTGTAGAATCTCAATTTGAGTGGCTTCTTTCAGTTGCATTCAAAAATTTGGATCTTTTTTCCTCACTTATAGCTCACTCTCAAGAAGTCTAAAGACAAGAAGGGAGTAGCTTCTTAAATGAGCAAAAATGAAAACAAGGTATGGTGGACTTTATGAATTAAAAAGACAGAACCAAAAAAACAAAAAGAAAGAAAGAAGATAGTGCCCAAGCCAGATTGATAGCAGAATAATTACCACACTCCTTTGTAGGGTGAATGAGTCTGGATATGCGCTAGGTAAGGGAAGCTTAGGGTGCACTAGATGTACATATCATTAATTTATTGTGATGCAGTATCTCTGTAATACCATAACATGCCTTTGAAGCTCTTGATACTGAGATTTGAGATGTAATCAATAATATGACATGATTCTTTGCATCTCTATGATACTTGGTACACTCAAGTACTCAGGATTTGACATTCCCCACCACCAGAGGAAGTCAT